GTCTCTTTCAACTCTATGATTCTATGATTCTATGATTCTATTCTATGAAGACACAGAGAGACCAAGGGGGGAAGCAGACAGGCAGCCCTGGGCCGCCCCTGAAAGCGGAGGATCGAGGCCGAGGCTGCCGGACACCTTGGCCTCAATCCTCCCTTTCGTCACCTGCAAAGAAGTGCTAAAATAGTGTTCCTTCTGCAAGCCATGAAAGGGGCACCGCAAAAGGTGTGGCACGCCTCTTCGGCGTCTCTTCTGGCTCAGCATGTCCATATGCTGAGCCAGAAGGATGCCAACGGAGCGCCCGTCATGTGGACAGGCTGTCACTCCAATGATGTCTTCAGGAAGGGGATGGGGCACTCAGTATCCGGCTGCCCCTCCCCTTTCTGGGATTGAAGACGGCATTTTTCGCCATCTGCACCCCCCCCCCAAATTTGGCTTTTAAACAGTATTCATGTAACATTTATTAAAACTGGTACAATTACCTTAAGTATCAAGAGCTCTTTCATTCATTCCCACACACATACATCATACTCACAACACAACCCTCCACTTGAACATTAATCAGGCATTCATGGAGGTTGGATGACCCATTGCCGCAGTTCCGAAATCATGGCATCAACCTGAACATTCCCCAATCTTTATAGTCTATATATTAACCTTTCTGGGTAATCATATTTTGTTGGTTTCCATGGTATCATACTTGTTCAACTTTCTTTCTCTTGTTCTTATCAGAATGACCTCAGATACATCCTGTCTCTGCTAAACCCATCCAGCCACATTCTTTAGCAATTCCTTGCTTCATCTGCCAAGTTCCTCCTTTGAACAAGTCTCTGCCCAGCAGCCATCTTCTTTGGTTCTTCAGGTTGTTTTTCAAACACTCAGCCATTCTTTCACAATAGCATTCTGAGCACTGAGTTGAGGTAAAATTGAATGTTAACATGATCTTAAAAAGTCTAGGTTCTGGATCTGCTAAAAAACCACAAGAAGCCAGCTCAAATACACATTTTAAAAGCAGGAAACTAAGGAAAAGGCAGACCAGCTTGAAAATAAGAATATCACTATACAATTCAAGTATTGTAGTATGAAGATATTATGGTGGCCACCTAGATTTTGAAAGAGAAAGAATAGAACAAGCGTAAGAGGATAACAAAAATGTTTGCTATAGTGATTTTCTATTGAAATTCTTCCTGAGAGTTTACTGTTTATTATTCACTGTTTTGTTGTTTTGTGCCTCCAAGTCACTTTTGAGTTATGGTGACCCTAAAACTAACTTATCATGGAGTTTTCATGGCACATTTTTTTCAGAATGGCTTGCCATTGCCATCCTCTGAGGCTGAGTGTCACTTGCCCAAGGTCACCCAATGGGTTTTTATGTTCAAGTAGGGAATTGAACCCTAGTCTCCAGAGTAGCAGTCCAATACTCAAACCACTACACCACACTGGTTCTCTTCACTAGTTTACTATGGTTAATAGCAAACTCACACAGTTGCCTCTGGCTTGTACTAAGTAGCTCTTGGGCTCAAACTCTGCCACAGTTACCTAAAAGCAGAGATCCCATGCTTTGCATAAAGCCAGTCCTTGGTTCAATTTATGATATATCCCTTTAAAAAGATCAGTACTTCTGAGTTAAAACCTTGAATAGCCACTGCCAGTAAGAGTAGATGGTGTTTGGCTAGATAGATTATCAGTCTGACCTGCAATAAAGCAGCATCTGATGTATGCACCAAGATCTCTACATTTACAGCATTCTTCTATCTGCCTTGATTTGCCTGTTGGCAAAAGCTTGCTGGAGTAATAGAGCCACGTTTATGTGTAGTTATCAGGCAGGGAGGAATTATGCATATATAAACCACTATCTATCCTCTTGTCTACAGCAATTAAAAAAAACAAAACCAATGACACATCACAGTTTTCTGGTTTACAGTGACTCTACAGCAATCCCATTAATGTCATAGAAACAGGCAAATTGAGGTGACATTGCCATAACCAGCCACACAATCCCCCTTGGTGAATTCACATCTGTGCACGATGATGACTGACACCTCCATTCTTTTGCATTATTTTCAGCCACATCGTGGTATTTGCTCTATTTCCCCCCACTTTCCAGCACGAATCTACCTATCATCCAATAGCTGTTATTGTTTGCCTGTTTATCTATCTATTGGATCTACTCTGATTGAATGCCCTTATCTAGTCCTCTTTCCACCTTTGTGCCCCAGTGAATGAATCAATTTTAAATGTGTAAAAAAAACAAAAAACAAAACACACACTATGGAAAAAGAAAAAAAAATCATTTTATTTATGAAAATGTTCAGCCATGAGATCAACGCTGAGGCTTAGGCTACTCACTCCCTCTTCCTACTCTTACCTGAGTGAGTGAGCAGGTAAGTGAATGAGAAAGCCAGTGAGTGCATTCCCTCTTCCTTGTCTCCCTCTGATCCTTTCATCAGCCTTGTGTCTCCCTTTTTTTACTTCCATGAATGTAGGTATGCAGATCTCTGCACGCATGTGGGAGCAAGTGAGTGACTGCTAGGGTGGATTGGAAGGAGGTAGTGGAAAAGGGTGCATATTCTCTGGCTGGCTCATTCACTCACTCACATGCATAGCTCTGGGTCTTTCACCCCCTAGTCTCAGTGCAAAGTTCCCACCTACCTATCTAGACCCAGTCAAAGACATCAAGCTCTGATCTTGGTGGGCTGTTGCTTTGCTCATCTTCCCACCCACCTTGTGGCTTGAATGACAAGACTGGGGTGGTTGTCTGGTTTGCTCTGGAGAGAGTGGGGTAGGGGAGAAAAGGAGAAGGGAAAATTCCTTTCATTGAAAGAGGGACATTTTAGGCTTGGCTTGGCTATGTCTGGCACTGTTCATCTGCTAGGCTGTATTATACATTGAAGTAAAAAGCAACAAAAAACAAACAAAAACAAAACCATGATGACACACACCATGCTTGGTGGAACCAAACAGTTCCACTCACAAAAATACCTGCTGCCAGCTCCACACAGAAGCTCCCTTGGAGTGCTGGCCACACATAGAGTTATTCAGATTTGGGGGTAAAGTCTGGGATAAAAGATGAGGTGTTAAAAAAACAAAACAGATTAAAGCCCTCTGAATCCCATCTTTGGTGAATTCCTTGTGAATCATCCAGAACATAATATAAACCTATTGCAGCAACTACATGGTGAGCACTCCCCTGCCTCCCAGAAATGTAGACAAGTCTTATATCAAGACTAGAATTAAGACTGATGAATAAAGACTAGAATGCAAAGGAAATTAGTGTGAATACAAAAATGTAAATGTTTTTCACACTTGGGAAGTTACTAAAACTGACTAAAAGAGCACATTCAAAAAAATGTCACATTTCCCAAAATGTGGAGGTGGGAAACAGAGGCATCCTGGTAGTGGCTTATGCAGTCATCAATCAACCTTTTGCCTATCTATGCCTTTTTCTTTGCTTGATATGGAGAATGATATTCCATTCCTCTCTTCTCACCAACTAAAGTCCCTTCCTGCTTTCTGTAGAGCTGCTGCAGCTCTCCATGGACATTCAGTGCCTGGTGGAATCAGGGGGAAACTGGAGAAGTGTCTGGCTTCTCTTCTACATTAAGTCCCTCTTCTACAGTAAGTAAGTAAGGGGGTTAGCAAATGGCCAGCTGTAGTGTAGTTCCACATGTGCAACTACTACACTATGTAGAACAATGCAAGATGTCAGCCAGACTGTGCATGCTGGTGTGACACTCGTTGCAGCCATGCAATCAGTATGTGTGACTGCACAGTATCTATCAAATGTTGCACTTAATGTGTGGACATTGAGAGTAGGGCCTGTGTGATGTCTGATATTGGGCATAGGACTACTTGAAATGGTAATTTTCCTCCCTGCAAGAGTTAAGATGGAAGCATGTGGAGCATTGCTGGACAGATTTACCAAAAATTTCTGCACTCTTTTCCTTGATCACTTGAAGAAGGCACTAAAATATTACCAGGCTGAAATGTATCAGGCTTTTGAACATTAAAAAAGAAACAAACAACCTCCCCCTAAACCAGGGGTAGGCAACCTTTCCCCTTTAAGGGCTGAGGGACTTCAGCTCCCAGAAGCCTCAGCTATGTTGGCCAATAGTTCCATGTTGGCCAATAGCTCCTGGGATTCTGGGAGCTGAAGTCCCTCGGCCCTTAAAGGGGAAAGGTTGCCTACCCCTGCCCTAAACCATGCCTCATAACATCTTGAAATGTGCCTCGTTCATTTGTGGTTTCTAATGTATATTCTCCCCCCCACACACACACTTTGGGGGGGATTTACAAGGCCATTTAAAGAGATCTTGCCTTTGTATATTGATTTTCCAGAATAACATAGCTATGTCTTTGAATTCTAGGGTCATTTAAATGCCACCAGAGTGAGAGTACATTGAGGCTAGAAAGAGTAGATATAAACCAGAAGTATATAACTTTTCTCTTTACTTGTCCGATTAGCATGCTACTTTTAAATAATAAAGGCCTACTGTCTGACCTTTGCTTCAGTTGGATATTTGGTTGGATTTCTTTCTGTCTGTAGAAGCCGCAGTCAAATTAGATTCTGTCATCTATGGATGAATGGAAAGTCACACCTGTTCCTTTTGGATGTGAACCTGGATATTGTGCTCTTTGTCCTTTCAGTTTACTGTTGAAGTTTGCATCACCCCTTATGGTTGGACATGACTTAAAAACCTTGTAGGTGGGGAATACCTTTACCTTTTTCATAGGTATAGTCTGGATAATATCTTGTCTAGTGTCACAAGCAGCTAGATTGCTGCAAACTGATTGCTGCTTTGTTTAAAATAAATGCCTGTGCTGTAGAAACATTCATTGTGAGGAAGCAACACACAACACCTGCTTTGTTGGAAAAATTTATGTTTTGCATTCTCCTGTTCCTCTTTAGTTAGGCAGGACTTCACCCCTCCCCTCCTCTCATTCTATCTGTCAATCTTAAGTGACAGTTTAACTGACTCTCTGAACATTCTAAACTGCCAGTCGCTGTCAGTAACTGCTAGTATGCAGTCAGTCACAGTCTTCCTCTGAGGGAAGTTAACATCTCTCTTCCTGCTTTATAAACTCCAGTTACATTAGGTTTTAGTTTATTGTGTAAATATTTATTAATGCCATTATTGTTTGTTTTTAAACCACAAACTACACATTTGTCTTTTTGAGTTAGTCTTTATTCTTTAGGAAGACAGATTTAAAGTAATAGTCTGCTGCTCTTCTGATGAAAGTGAACTCTAACAAGTTTAACTTTTGTACCTGCATATTTTAGTTTACCTTTAAAAGGGTTAACACCCTGGAAACTAAAACTGCAACCCCACATGCATGAACAGTGACACACAATACATCAAGCCATTCTGCCACATAAGAAAAAATACCCATAGTCAGGTCCTACTAAAAGAGGATGGGCCTAAGCAGACGGGCGGCCGTGGGCCGCCCTGGGAAGGTGCGCCGCGGGACCGAGACATCCCCATGCCTCAATCCAGTGGCGCATCGTCGGCACCCCTGGAAAGGAGCGCTAAAATAGCGCTCCTTTCATGTGTCGCTGAAAGTGCGCCGCAAAAGGTTGTGGCGCACTTTCGGCAACTTTTCCGCCACAGCATGTCTGGACGCTGCGGCGGGAGGTCCTCCTCGGAATGCCAGCCATGTGGAGGGCCGGTGGCTCCGCGGACGATCTCGGGAGGGGGAGGGGGCGCCGAGCGTGCAGCTGCCCCTCCCCTTCCCTGAGCCGAAGACGGCCCAATAAGCCATCTGCTTAGGCCCGATGTTACTAAAAGGCCGTGGGGAAGAGAGGAGGAAAAACATTGTAGACCTCAAGTTGAAGTCAGAGTTCATTGCAGGTCTTGTACATTAATGTACATGAATGGACTTTCTCCTACACAAGTGAGTCATGGGTTTTGTATTAGTGCATAAAGAAGCATGCTCTCTCTGTTCCATGAACATTCTATTTTTGAAGTCTATAATTAAACCTTTAATTTTAGCTCAAACAATAAGGGAAAAATATACCGTATTTTCTGGTGTATAAGACGAGTAGGCTTATAAGACGACCCCCAACTTTTCCAGGTAAAATATAAGAGTTTGGGATATACTCACCGTATAAAACTACCCCTCTTCCAACGCACACCAAATAAATAAAAAATAAATAAATCAGATTTGATTTCAATATGGTAATTTCAATTCACATGCTTATGACATGCAGGTACCTAGCAGGAAAACTGTCACTTCTAAACACAACAAACTACGGCTCCCATGTTCCCTAGTATTTATTTCTGCAATGTGTTTTGGACCTTACTTTTTTTTAAAAAAATAGTCCTGCTTTAAAAATTATTTCCATCTCCCAGCTATGAGATGGTTGGGGGAAATGAGAAAGTGTTGGGGGGAAGGACTGCCAATACACTACGTGATGCATTCTGGGGTATGTACAATTTGTG